TGCCCCCACCCTTCCTACCACTCCCCACTTCCCTCCTTCCACCCACAGCTCCTCCCACCATTCTCACCCCACCCCTCCTTTCCCCCCCACCTTCCTTCCACTTCCTCCCTCTTCCTCCCCCCCACTTCCCCTCCCCCCCTTCCCTCTTTCCCCCTCTCCACCCTCCATTCTTCCCCGCACCCCGCCCCCCACCGCGCGGCACTATCTTGTCATCAGAATGTTTCATGGGCCGCCTCAGACTCACACCTAGCCTGCGATGTGGAGGCAGATAGCGGGGGTATCTGACACTGTATTTAAATGTAGTTATGGTGTTTGGGCCTTCGCCTTGACAGCCTGCTCGGAGGTGATGGATAGTGTGTGTGAGGGGCCGGACGGGCAGGCAGGCAGGCAAGCAAGGGAAGGAGGGAAGAAGGAGGAAGGGAGGGAAGGAGAATGAGGGAGGGAGGGAGGGAGGGAAGAAGGAGGAGGGGATGGAGGGAGGGTGGGAGGAAAGGAAGAAGTGGGAGGGAAGGAAGGAGAAAGGAGGGAGGGAGAAAAGGAGGAAAGGGGAAGGGGGGGGAGGGGAAGAAAGGAGAAATGTAAGGAGGCAGGCAGGCAAGCAAGGAAGGAGGGAAAGGAGGAGGAGGAAGGAGGAAGGGAGGGAGGGGAAGAGGGAAGGAAGGAAAATGAGGGAGGGTGGGAGGAAAGGAAGAAGAGGGAGGAAGGAAGGACAGAAGGGGGGGAGGGGGAATGAGGGAAGAAGGAAAATATAAGGAAGAAGAAAGAAGGAGGGAGGGGAAGAAGGAGGAAAGGCGGAAGGAAGGAGGAAGGGAGAGAAGGAGGAAGGGCCAGAAGGGGAAATAGAAGGGGGATGGGATGGAGAGAGAGAGGTATGAAGGAGGGATGGAAGGAAGGAGGGGAGGGAGTGAGGGCTGAGAAGAAACGAAAGAGGAAAAGGAGGGAGTGAGGGAAGATGGGAGAGAAAAGGAAGAAAGGAAGGGAGGGATGGAGAGAGGAAGGACGAAAGGGAGAGAGAGAGAAGAGAAGCCTACTTTAGCATAAAGGTAGCTTAGTTGGAATAGAAGAGAGAAAGTGGCGACCAAGAGGAAACAAAGTATAGATCCAGACACAGATAAAGATGGGAAAGAACAGGAAGGAAGAGAAAAAGGAAGATAAACAATTAGAGAAATGAAAAATACAATGGAAAAGGAAGTAATGTAGACGGAAACAGATTTCACCTAACGTAGAATAAGGGAGAAAGAAAAAGAAAATTTACTTCGTCTTGTAGAAGAGAGAAGGTTCACGGAAAAGAGAGGAAGGAAAGACGCCTTTAAATTAGAGAAAAAAGAAAGAAAGAAAGAAAAATATTGGGTTGGTTTTGTGAACATGTACAGCTGTTTAGCTTGAGGTTCAGTCATACTTGAGCACATTTAGAGGTCTGTTCAGTAGGGAAAATGCATGGATATGCTTGCACTAATATATATACATATATTATATATATGTATAATATATATATATATATATTATATATATATACACATATATATATTATATATATATCATATATTATACATAATATATATATATATATATATATATATATATATATACTATATATATTATATATATATATATATTATATATATAGATAGCATATATACACAGATAGATGGATAGATTGACTGATAGATAGATAGGAAGACACGGGCAGATACGAAGACAAAGGGAAGAAGAGAAGAAAAGAGACAAAAGTAAGGGCAGAGAAAGACAGACAAAGACGGGGACAGAAACAGATCCAAAGACAAAAACAAAGACGAAGAAAGACAGAGACAAAAGAGAGGGAGAGAGATACAGATAGAGACAAAAACAGAGACAGAGAAAAAGATAGAGATTGAGACAGAGAAAGAGAAAGAGACAGAGACAGAGACAAAGACAGAAAAAGAGATAGAGACAGATATAGGGACAGAAACAGAGACAGAGACAGAGACAAAGACAGAAAAAGAGATAGAAACAGATATAGGGACAGAAACAGAGACAGAGAAAGAGACAGGGATACAGGCTTGCATATTGAGAAAGGGTATTAGAGAACCAGTGTATTTCTGTTACTCTTACTACATGTAAAGAAAACACACCTTGCATTGCCTCTCGAAAACATGTATTATTGAAGTATTGTATTACCATGGTAATTATCTAATATCAAGGAGTACTTCCGAACATACGGAAAAAAACACTAGTATGAATTTACTCTATACGTATGTAGAAAAAAATCACTTCTCTCTCTTTCGCTCTGTCTCTCTCTCTCTTATGATCTCTCTCTCTCTCTCTCTCTCTCTGTCTTTCTCTCTCTCTCTGTCTCTGTCTCTCTTTGTCTGTCTCTGTCTCTCTCTCTCTCTCTCTCGCTCTAATTCTCTGTCTGTCTGTCTCTCTGTCAGTCTGTCTTTCTATCTGCCTGCCTCTGTCTCTCTTGTTTCTCTCTCTATCTCTCTCTCAAAAAAAAAAATAATAAAAAATAATAATAATGCTCAGGCAGTGGCTACAGCTACGCCATCGTATCTTAAGATCAAGTTCTGACAGTACGATTAGGAATATGCCGCACAGGACGCATACCCACCATTTTGAAAATTGCGCTAACGTTGTATGCCTCAAAAGTGGGTCTCCTCAGCTTAACGTAGCCTCTCCTGTTCGACTTTAACGCAATCTATCTCAACTTAAGATAGATATCACAAAGATCACGTATTTCAAAATTTATCTATTTTTATTTGTTTATTTTTTGTTTATTCATCTATTTCTAACGGTTGTACTACTGCTGCGATATATGCCGTAAAGTTAGGAACGTTATATGAATTAATACATATTTATTTATTTATTTATTTTTTGCGTGTGTGACCTTGTTGAGGCTTTTGGTCATCTCATTTTTACCTTTATCGGGAGAAAAAATAAGAAGGGGAGAGGGAGAGGTGAGGGGAGAAGGGGGGGGGGAGGAGAAGAGGAGAAGGGAGAAGGGGAAGAGGAGAAGGGGGAAGGGGAAGGGGAAGATGAGAAGGGGAAGAGGGAGGGGGATGAGAAAGCAAGAAGGAAGAGGAAGATGAGAGATGAAAGAGGAAGAGGCAGATGAGAGGAGAAAGGGGAAGAGAAAAATAAGAAGAGAAGGGAGAAGAGGAATATGAGAGGAGAAAGAGGAAGAGAAAGAGGAATAAGATGAGAGAGAATAAAAGTGCAAGGGAGATGAGAGCAGAGCAGGACAGGAACGAGAGAAGAGAAAGGGAGATTTTCTTCTCGGAGGCGTTGGAGAGGGGGGAGAGGGAGGGGGGAGGGGGGGGAGATACCCACCCACCCCGCCGCACGCCATCCCGAGACGCCAACCAAATGCGTGTGTTGGCGACGAGTGGTGATATCTGGCCCGCCGAAGTGATGAATGTGATGACGAGCGATGTGGCGAAGTTATCATCGTCATCATGGTGATTTTCCCCGTGTGGATCTGGCCGTGAAGGAGGTAATTCGTGTCATCGAGGAGAGCCGCTTCGCACGCACGCCCGCCGCTGGAATTCCGGTGAAGATTGCAGGCGGGGCGGCGTGGCGGCGCGAAAGGTCTTTTCAATTTTTTCTTTTTCTTTTTTTAATTTCTTTGTCTTTTTTTTTTTTTTTTTTTTTTACATTGTTTGCATTGTTTGTAGGATTTTGTTTGGGTCTTGTTTTCTTATCATTATTGTTTTATTATCTGCATTTTCAGTATCGTTGACGTTGTGAAAACCATTATCATCATTACTCTTAACATCTCTGTCACTACTATTATATCACCACTATCATCATCACCATCGCAGCAATATGACCACCTCCACCGCTATGACCATTGCATCACATCGTCAGAATTGTTTGGAGCATCCAGCAGCAGCAGCATTCTCATCGGCAGCAGCATCACCTCTGCAGCAGCAATCACCATCGCAGCAGCATCACCATCGGCAGACAGCATTCACCATCGGGCAGCAGCATCACGATTCGTCGTAACATCACCATCGCAGCAGCATCACCATCGCAGAAGCATCACCATCGTCAGAAGCAATCACCATCGTTCAGAAGCATCACCATCAGCAGCATATCAATCGGCAAGCAGCATCACATCCTGCAGCAGGCATTCACCATCGGCGGAGCAGCTATCACCATCTTCTAGTAGCATCCAACCATCGTCAGAAGCATCCACCATCGGCAGCACCGCATCACCATCGTCAGAAGCATCACCATCCGCAGCAGCATCACCGATCGGCAGCCAGCATCACCATCGGAGAAGCATCACCATTCGGCAGCAGCATCACATCGCAGAAAGCATCACCATCGCGCAGCAGCATCAGCAAAGCATCACCAATCGGCTAGCAGCCGATCACGCAGCGGCCAGCACATCACTATCGGCAAAGCAGTCACCCTCGGAAGCAGCAACACCAACGGCAGCAGCATCACCATCGCAGAAGCACACTATCGGCAGCAGCATCACCATCTTCAGAAAGATCACCATCGGCAGCAGCATCCCATCGCAGAAGAGCATCACCCCCAGCAGCAGCATCACCATCGGCAAGCAATATCACCATCGCAGCAGCCATCACCATCGGCAGAACACTCCACCCATCGCAGAAGCATCACCATCGGCTGAGCAGCATCACCATCGGCACCCAGCATACTCACCATCGCAAAGCATCACCCTCGGCAGAAGCATTCACATCGGCAGCAGCCATCAACCATCGGGCAGCAGCATTCACCAATCGGCAGAAGCATCACCATCGGCAAGCAGCAATCACCATCCGCCAGCCCAGCATCACCATCGCAAAGCATCACCATCGGCAGGCAGCATTCATCCATCGCAGCAGCATCAACCCATCGCAGAAGGCATCACAACGCCAGCAGCATCACCATCGTCAAAAGAATATCACCATCGGTAGCAGCATACCATCGGCAAAAGCATCACCATCGAGCAGAAGGCATCCACCACGCAGCATTCTCATCGGCAGCTATGCATCACCCTCGGCAGAAGCATGCACCATTCGGCAAGACACAGAAGCATCACCATCACAGCAGCATCACCAATCGGCAGCTATCCATCATCATCGCTAGCAGCATCACCATCGTCAGAAGCATCACCAATCGGCATGCAGCATCACCATCCGGCAGCAGCAGCACCATCGCAATAGATTCCACCATCTGGAAACAGATTCACCATCCCTGCACGCAGCAATCACCATCGGCAGAAGCATCACACGGCAGCAGCATCCACCATTCGGCAGAACATCACCATCGGCAGCAGCATCACCATCGCAACAACATCGCCATCGGCAGAAGCATCTAGTACGGGAACCAGCACATCCAGAAGCATCACCTCGGCAGGCAGAAGCATCACCATCGCATCGCAAGCATCACCCTCGCATCATCATCATCGCCCAGCAGCATCACCATCGGCAGCAGCAGCACCACGGACGCAGGCATACACCATCGGCAGAAGCATCACATCGGCATCGGAGCAGCATCATCGCAGAAGCATTCACCATCGCAGAAGCATCACCATCGCAGCAGCATCACATCCGGCATCACATCGCCATCGGCAGAGCATCAGTATCAGAGCATCACCATCGCCAGCAGCATCACATCGCAGAAGCATCACCATCGCAGAAGCTATCACCATCGGCAGCAGCATCCATCGGCAGCAGCATCACCATCGCAGCAGCATCACATCGCAGCAACATCACCATCCCAGCAGCCATCACCATGCGCAGCAACATCACCCATCGCAGCATGCACCATCGTCAGAACATCACCATCCGCATGAGCATCACCATCGGCAGCAGCCATCACCATGGGCAGCAAGCATCACCATCGGCAGCAGCAATCACCATCGCAGAAGCATCACCATCGGCAACAGCATCATCCATCGCAACAGCATCACCATTCAGTGCCATGCAGAAGCTATCAACACATCGCAGAAGCATCACCATCAGCATCTCATCGCGCAGCATCAGCAGCAGCATCACCATCGGCAGCAGCATCAAGCATCACCATCGCAGAGGCAGCATCACCACTCCAAGCATCAACCATCGCAGCATCTCATCGGCAGCAGCATCACCCTCGCAGAAGCATCACCATCGCAGCATCAGCACACATCAGCCATCACCATCGGGCAGCAGCATCACCATCGTCGAATCACCATCGCAGCAGCATCACCATCAGAAGCTCACCATCGCAGCAGCATCACCATCGCAGCAGCATCACCATCGGCAGAACATCACCATCGGCAGAAGCATCACACAGAAGCATCACCAAGCATCACCATCGGCAGCATCACCATCGGCCAGCATCACCATCGCAGAAGCATCACCATCGTCAGAAGCATCACCATCAGCAGCATCAAGCAGCATCACCATCGGCAGCAGCATCACCATCGGCAGCAAGCATCACCATCGGCAGAAGGCATCACCATATCGCAAAGCATCCACCATCGGCAGCAGCAGTCACCATCGGCAGAAGCATCACCATCGCAGCAGCATCACCATCGGCAGAAGCATCACCATGCAGAAGCATCACCATCGTCAGAAGCATCACCATCAGAAGCAGCAGCATCACCATCAATCAGAAGCATCACCATCGGGCAACAGATCACCATCGCAGCAGCATCACCATCGGCAGCAGCAGAGCATCACCATTCAGCAGCAAGCAAGCATCGGCAGCATCATCATCATCGCAACAGCATTCACCATCGGCAAGAAGCATCACCATAGCATCATCATCGGGAGCAGTAGTATCATCGCAGCATCACCATCGGGAGCATCAGCAGCATCAGCATCATCATCATCACCACCATCGGCATCAGCATCATTAACAGAAGCATCACCATCGCATCAGCATCTCAGCAGCATCACCATCATCATCATCGGCATCAGCATCAAACATCGCCAATCGGCACAGAAGCATCAGTATCGGAACAGCATCACCATCGGCAGAAGCATCACCCTCGGCATCATCATCATCGCACAGCATCACCATCGGCAGCAGCATCACCATCGGCAGAAGCATCACCATCGGCAGCAGCATCACCCTCGCAGCAGCATCACATCGCAGAAGCCATCAACCATCGGCAGCAGCATCATCGCAGCAAGCATCACCATCGCAGAAGCATCACCATCGGCAGCAGCATCACCATCGGCAGCAGCATCACCATCGGCAGAAGCATCACCATCGGCAGAAGCATCACCATCGGCAGCAGCATCACCATCGGCAGAAGCATCACCATCAGCATCACCATCGTCAGAAGATCACCATCGGCAGCAGCATCACCATCGGCAGAAGCATCACCATCAGCAGAAGCATCACCATCGGCAGCATCTCATCGGCAGCAGCATCACCCTCGGCAGAAGCATCACCATCGGCAGAAGCATCACCATCAGCAGCAGCATCACCATCGGCAGCATCATCATCATCGGCAGCAGCATCACCATCGTCAGAAGCATCACCATCGGCAGCAGCATCACCATCGGCAGCAGCATCACCATCGGCAGCAGCAGCACCATCGGCAATAGATTCCCATCGGAAACAGATTCACCATCTGCAGCAGCATCACCATCGGCAGAAGCATCACCATCGGCAGCAGCATCACCATCGGCAGAAGCATCACCCTCGGCAGCAGCATCACCATCGGCAACAACATCGCCATCGGCAGAAGCATCAGTATCGGGAACAGCATCGGCATCGGCAGAAGCATCACCATCGGCAGAAGCATCACCATCAGCAGAAGCATCACCATCGGCAGCAGCATCACCATCGGCAACAACATCGCCATCGGCAGAAGCATCAGTATCGGGAACAGCAGCAGAAGCATCACCATCGGCAGAAGCATCACCATCAGCAGAAGCATCACCCTCGGCATCATCATCATCGGCAGCAGCATCACCATCGGCAGCAGCATCACCATCGGCAGCAAGCATCACCATCGGCACAGCATCGCAGCATCACCATCGGCAGCATCACCATGCATCACCATCGTCAGAAGCATCACCTCGGCAGCAGCATCACCATCAGAAGCATCATCATCGCAGCAGCAGAAGCATCACCATCAGCAGCATCTCATCGGCAGCAGCATCACCATCGGCAGCAGCATCACCATCGGCAGCAACATCACCATCGGCAGCAGCATCACCATCGTCAGAAGCATCACCATCGGCAGCAGCATCACCATCGTCAGAAGCATCATCGGCAGCAGCATCACCATCGGCAGCAGCATCACCATAAGCATCATCACCATCGGCAGAAGCATCACCATCTCAGCATCACCATCGGCAGCAGCATCACCATCGGCAGCAGCATCACCATCGGCAGAAGCATCACCATCGGCAGCAGCAGCAGCATCATCAGAAGCATCACCATCGCAAAGCATCACCATCAGCAGCATCTCATCGGCAGCAGCATTCGGCAGCAGCATCACCATCGGCAGCAGCATCCACCATCGGCAGCAGCATCACCATCAGAAGCATCACCATCGGCAGCAGCATCACCATCGGCAGCAGCATCACCATCGTCAGAAGCATCACCATCAGCAGCATCTCATCGGCAGCAGCATCACCATCGGCAGCAGCATCACCATCGGCAGCATCACCATCAGCAGCATCCATCGCAGCAGCATCACCATCGGCAGCATCACCATCAGAAGCATCACCATCGGCAGCAGCATCACCATCAGCAGCATCACCATCGGCAGAAGCATCACCATCGGCAGAAGCATCACCATCAGCATCACCATCAGCATCACCATCGGCAGCATCACCATCAGCATCACCATCGGCAGCAGCATCACCATCGGCAGCAGCATCACCATCGCAGAAAGCATCACCATCGGCAGCAGCATCTCATCAGCATCATCGGCAGCAGCATCACCATCGGCAGCAGCATCACCATCGGCAGCAGCATCACCATCGTCAGAAGCATCACCATCGGCAGCAGCATCACCATCGGCAGCATCACCATCATCAGCATCATCAGCAGCATCCATCGGCAGCAGCATCACCATCGGCAGCAGCATCACCATCGGCAGCATCACCATCAGCAGCATCCATCAGCATCACCATCGGCAGCATCACCACAGCAGCATCACCATCGGCAGAGGCAGCAGCATCACCATCGGCAGAAGCATCACCATCAAGCATCACCATCGGCAGAAGCATCACCATCGTCAGAAGCATCACCATCGGCAGCAGCATCACCATCAGCAGCATCTCATCGGCAGCAGCATCACCATCGGCAGCAGCATCACCATCGGCAGCAGCATCACCATCAGAAGCATCACCATCGGCAGCAGCATCGCAGAAGCATCACCATCACCATCAGCATCACCATCGGCAGAAGCATCACCATCGCAGAAGCATCACCATCGGCAGCAGCATCACCATGCATCACCACCGTCAGAAGCATCACCATCGGCAATAGATTCACATCTGCAGCAAGCATCACCATCGGCACATCATAGCAGAAGCATCACCATCGGCAGAAGCATCACCATTGCAGCAGCAACAGCATCGGCAGCATCATCATCATCGGCAACAGCATCACCATCGGCAGAAGCATCACCATAGCATCATCATCGGGAGCAGTAGTATCATCGGCAGCATCACCATCGGCATCAGCATCACTATCGGCAGCAGCAGCAGCAGCATCATCATCGGCATTATCACCACCATCGGCATCAGCATCATTAACAGAAGCATCACCATCGGCATCAGCATCTCATCGGCAGCATCACCATCGGTATCTCATCGGCATCAGCATCATAAACAGAAGCATCACCATCGGCAGCATCATCATCATCAGCAAAAGCATCACCATAGCAGCAGCATCACCATCGGCAGAAGCATCACCATCGGCAGAAGCATCACCATCGGTAGAAGCATCACCATCGACAGAAGCATCACCATCGGCAGCATCTCATCGGCAACAGCATCACGATCGTCAGCAGCATCACCATCGGCAGCCTCTCATCGGCAACAGCATCACCATC